CTGGCCGGACAAGTTTCCAGTAGCTTCCAGTCGGGCCCCAGTGTCTGCGCCCAGGCCCCCAGTTGCTGTTAAGGGCCTGGGCCCTTTACAGTTGAGCACGCCCAGGTAGCCAACGAGGCTACAGCACGCCCAGGTAGCCAACGAGGCTACAAGTGTTTGCCCCGATCTCATTGGCTGCTGGCCAGTGTGTGACGAAGATGCTGCATTCTCATTGGCCCGCGGCCATTCTGTGATGTGTCGGCCTCCGGTGGCTCACGCCCAGGGCCTCAACTGTATGTGCCCTGGGCTCAACTGCCTCTCGAGCTGCTGCTTCCAGAAGAACACAATGAAAGGCTCACGTGCAGCAACTGTCTGATACCCCACATGCAGAATTTGGCAAAAATAGGCCTCTCGTAAATATTATGGCCCGCCTTCACTTAGGGCGGGCACAAGTATGTACGGGGCCTCAGCCGAGATGTGTGGTGAGCCCGAGAAGGGCCTCTGCAAACATTCAGGCCCGCATGTAGATTCCAACAGCCCTTTAGCGTGATCACACTGGCCTGTGCCCAGGCTTTCACACATATTGGCAGGCCCGCCTTCACTTAGGGTGGGCAAGGCCTTTTCCAGCATTGCCGAGGGCTCAAAAAAGATAGCTTGTTCATGATAGCCATATGTTAATTGTGGTCACTTTTGTCAGTAGTTTAGTTCATATTTATTCAATCTCATGTATGTCTGAAGATCCTTTTTTGCCGACGTATTAAACTTCGGAAACCTCCAAAAGAAGCCAAAACAAAACCTGGACTCAGTGGGGAAGCATCATGAAAAAGACCACCGCCAATCATCAGGAACAGTGAATATAGATAAGATGGTGAACCCACCATCACAGGATCAAACCTTAATCTGCGGGAGGCAAGGGCGGAAATCCCGCTCCCCAAGCCCAGAAGTAGACACTATCCGCAATACGTAATCAGGAGCCTAGGAAGAGAACAGTCGTGCCTGACAGTCGATAATCCTAACCAGGAGCCACCAATGCTGATCAGTGGTTCCTTCAGCTAAAAGGAAGAATCGAATTGCTTGAGAGAGGCCTCCAGACTTGCAGGTGAAAAAGAAACGGATCGACATTGCCCTTCCAGGACCATAAGCCCCTGGTCTTTTATTGAAGAAACAGAGAGAGAGAGAGAGAGAGAGAGAGAGAGAGAGAGAGAGAGAGAGAGAGAGAGAGAGAGAGAGAGA